CACACGGGCTCCGCCGGCTGCACGCGCGGCCGGCTCCTCGCACGCGCGTCGGCTTCCCTTACACACACACACACACACACCCCGGCTGCCTCCGCACATTGGCTTCTCTCACACACACACTCACCAGCTTCCCCCAAAACCACACACCCGTTCCCCTCACACCCGCACCGGTTCCTCTCTCTCGCGCACACACACGGGCTTTCCTCACACACCACCTCCCCTCACGCACCAGCTCCTCTCACGCACACGCACACAGAGGCTTTCCCCACATACACTTGCTCTTCTCTCTCACACACACGCACCACACACAGGCTTCCCTCACACACTCATACACCAGCTCCCATCACACACAGAGGCCTCTTTTACACACACACACCCACCAGTTCCTCCCAAAACACACACTGGTTCCCCTCACACCCACACTCGTTCCTTCCTCTCTCTCACACGCAGACACACACACCGGCTCTCCTCACACCCAGGCTTCCCTTACAGACCCAGACACCAGCTCCCCTCACACACACACCCTCAGCTCCCTTCTCTCTCTCCCTCGCACACGCAGACACAGAGGGCAGCTCACACAGACACACATTTCCCTCAGTGTCAGCCATGGAAGCTGACACCATCCCTGCAGATTGGCCCCAGGACGGGTGCTGCTGCCCCAGGCCTGGGCAGGGACCTGGCAGTGACAGGCCTGGGTGCCCAACAGCACTGGCTGCCACCCAGTGCCTCTGCACAGGGGTAACCCGTGCCCAGCTGCTCAGAGCCTTCCTGTGCCAGCCCGAGAGATGTTGTTCCACCACCACAGCAAACAAAGGTGCAGCTCAGGTGCTCTCCTTCACAAACCTCTCCCCGTCCTGCAGCCCCGAGGCCCAGCACCCCACGCCGCTGGGGTCTGAGGCCACGCTGACCATCACGCGATGCCACTGGACGGGCAACAAACACAAGAGCGGCCTCGCCATCTCGCCCCACCGCAGCGGGTTGTATATCCTGAGTTTACCTACAATACAAATATCCTCAACAAAAAGCATAGGAAACACAGCAAATCGTTTTCACTAATTGATTCACCCAACGTATACATAGAAGACTTTTACTCTGCTTTTGTGCAGCACATGACAATGTAAAAAAGTATCCTGTGAAATACTAGAACTGTTCATCTTCATTTGTGCTCATTGCACACAAAATGTTCACAGCTCCCTGGCCGCAGAACCATGACCTGCCTGTGGCACACACATGTTCCTCGTATTGCAATTTTTAGCGCCTCCATATATTCAGAAAAACACCATATAAATCATGACTGCGTGTGTGGCAAATTGCAATGTATGTGCTAAACAAAAAAGCCAAGTCCTATGCATAATTTTTTAAATATCCCCATGGCTACACATTTTCACCCTGGGGAGATGGGTGCTTATTAAAAGTTCCTCCACCCCAACACATCTACACACTCCTGAGTCTGTGTGAGCATGTGTGATGTGGTTTATTTCACAAGAATGGAAGCCAGCGAATTAACTCAAATGAAGTCTTATTTGCTGATGGGAAAAGTGCACAGGGACATTTACCCCAGAACAGAAATCACTTGTCACACACTCATTTTCACTGTAGAGCCCTGGTTCCTGGGTGCAGCCTGGCTGAGCTGGCACGGCCGCGGCACTTCAGCCAGTTACTGGTGACAGGGGCAGCCCTGCTTTTTTTCTAAACTTCTAGAATCGAGCCATATGCCCTAGAAGCTGTTTCCATATGCCCTTGCTTCATGGACTTTTATTTTGCAGAGAAACTGCTTTCAAATTTGATCTGAAATTCAATAAAATATAAAGATTTTTAATTTGGTTTCTACCTATTCTACACATGCTTCAAGTCCCCTATTCCTCTTCAGAAGGAATAGATTTTCCTTGCCTTAATTAACTTATGCCAAAGCATGAGGAGCACTAAGAAACATTTTGTACTCTCATTAAGTGTTCCATCAAGAAATATGGAACGCATTTATCCCTATTCCTTCAGTGCTGCCTCACAAACAGCGCTACCGAGGCAGGCGCGTCTGGCTGAAGCAGACACAACTGGCCTTGCGTCAGGTTTGGGGCAATCTGTACCTTTGGTTGTTCCTTAAAATCTCGCAGTCCTGCTGAGTCATTCCCCATTCCGGTTTCTGTCCCGAGAGCGACTCTGGTCGAGATCCATTCACCAAAACCCCCCTGGGAGCCCCCAGCTCCTCCCTCGGCACCCGTCGTGTCCCTGCTGGGCCCCTGCGAAGAGCCAAGTGACGCCGGTTCTGACACTACAGGGTCACGTTGGGATTGCTCTATTCTGTCTCTAAAGCAACATTTTATCTCAAACCGAATCATTATTTGTACATTGGGATTACACAGATTCGGCGAGAGAAGAAATCTACCAAGTGTGCATAGCCATCCCCAGACAGCTGGATAAACCGCTGTAAAAGAACCGTCCCTGACCGCACACAACTTTTCACTCCTCTTACTGCTCCGCGTTGGGCACACACCACTCGCACGAGGCTTCTTTGCACATGTAAATGTATTCACCTTCCAACGGCGGGATCTGTTGCTGGAGGGAAGGCGTCTGCCACCTCTTCCCGCTCGCAGCCCTGGCTGCTCTGCGCCGCGGGGGCGGCTGCTTGTCTCTGACTGGGGCCGTCTGGACCAGGAGTCAGCGCTGCCGCTGCTGGTCTTCAGGCAGACACACACGGTGATATGGACACACACGCTGATATGGATATACACCATGTAAAGCCTTTCCAACTTCCTGGCAAGCAGCTTCGGCGATCCTGGCTCCGAAGCACCAGTTACGAGGCCTTCTGATACCAACTGTGTTCCTGCATTGGATATCAGGTAACGGCCTGGGGAGTTTGTCCCTGATAGAAGTTCCCATTGGATCATTTGTGAGGTTTTCTGTGAAGAATTTGATTATTGCTTCAACAAGCACAACTTTTCAAGTCCTTTCTATATTTCCGTCAATCCCACCCTGGGTCTGTAAGTGCAAACCTCTGTGTTCACTCTGAAAGAGGTTTCTTAGAGACATTCTGCAGCCTGTGAAATGCCTTCTCTTCTCACTCCTCTGCTGGATCAGCACGCTACTGCCTGCGCCATTTTTGGATCAAACAGCAATTTAAAAAGTGTGTCTTTCCTACAGGGAAAGTGTCAGGATTGTTCTCTTCCTATTTACATGAGCTGCCTCAGGTCAGCTCTGAGACACGGCCAAGGAGAACACCTTCACCAGCTCCTCCGGCGGTCGCCGGTCTCTGTTTTATTATTTCCTGCTGGTAAGAAATACTCAACACACAGGAATCACTTCCTGCTTGAGACCTATAAGGAAGTTCACAACCCAATTTCTCCTCACATTTCAAAGCAAATTACAACCACTTCCTTTTCTAGAGACTTTTCAGAACAAGCAGCTATTTTCCAAATCCCTTTTGGAAGGGTGACTTGATCACTGCAAACCCGCCACCTAAAAATGACTTGCCTCATCTTCCAAAGGAATTTCCACAGTCAGCTTATGAGCCATTTCTACGAGCAGCTATTGTGGAATAATTACTTGCCATAATTAACTCAAAAGCAGTTACCAGTTTCCACTAGCGCAGGGACCTCAGGGTAAAATTTCAGAACCAGGTTTTGCTGGCTTCTTTTTCCACACAACACGTTCTTTCTCTCTCTGTCTGAAACCACCCAAAGAGCTCAGCGTTGCCGCTCCCATTCGTAAGTTTGTTTGTCATGTTTTGAGCAGTAGCTATTCATTATCAGATAATTCTCACTTGCTCCTATGGGTTTTCCAGATCCAGGTGAGAAAGAAGTAGAAATATTTTGTGTCTCTATCAGCACTAGTTTCTGCATTTTCATGTCTTTCTCCATCTGTGCATTTCCAGGCTGCACAGATCTGCCTGCATCTCTCCATTTACTCTGATTCTTTTCCCTGCCCTTTTTCCCACACAGTCACTCCGATTGCAGGTTGGGAAATCCTGGGTCATTAGACAGATTTTATTATTAAATAAATGGGTGCAGGACCCATTCCTCCTGCAGACCCCTCGGCGCCGCCTGGGAACCCCCCTTGCAGCAGCTCTCCGTGGAATGGAAGGAAAGGGCTGATGAGATACAGAATGTTGAGTGTGAAGTACACTTTTCTATATCAGCATTCCCATCAGAATACTGAGTGACAACCTCTTGTTTTCTGTTCTCCTCTCCCAGGAGCGTTCGGAGCGCGCTGAACCTCCTCGCTACGGAGCCTAGTCAGAGCTTGATGCTGTTACACACTGAGAGGTGGTGGGGGCCCTTTGGGATGTTTCATGGGGTTTGTCTCTTTCTAGATTGTATAAATATTTATCCCTCAGCTGGAGTATTTGCTGTCGTTGTTGTTTTGTATATTTCGTCCTTCCCACCATCAATCACTCGGGAAAATTTTGAATGTCTCTTCCAAAAAGTAATTCACATTCTTTTGAGTCCATCAGAACAATTCTCTGGTGTCGGCAAATTTTCAGTCTCCAACTGTACACACAGCAAGAGGCAGAAAGACTCAGACTTTGAAACACAAACAAAGCACTCAAATGATGTGGGAAAAAGAATAGACCTCCCTTGTGCCAGCCCAACAAGGGGGCCTCTGTCACTTGTTTGGAGAAACATGGCACACAGGTTTGTGAGGAACAAAGTAGGTGGGTTTTGTGATGGACAATTGACCCCCGG